TGGTGCTAAACATCTCACCCAGAGAGAAACACCCAACTCTACCTCCCCCCGCTGGTTGGGTGGCGATCGGGTGTCACCTCTCTCTAGTTCTTCCCCCCCGGTGTTCCAGTGCGCCAGCTGGAATGGTGAGAGTGTGGCGGGCCCGCCCCAAGGTGCCAGTCTTGGGCGGTGTCCAATTGCCTCCCAACTCGATGACTGTGCAAGTGAATTACGAAAAGACACTCTGGCAAATGAATTACGAAAAGACACTCTGGCTAACTCTACATAGTCAATATAAGTATGTAGCTTAGGACGCGCAGCGGTTCGCCAGAAGGAGCCGACGAAGAGAGAGCTGTCCGGTTGAGGGGAATAACCCCTCACCAAATTAGCAGCTGCACTGACGTTATTGACGAACAGGAGGATGGAGCGTTCGCAGATGCGGGGCTCTCAGAGGTCCAAGGCCCAGAGGGGTGCGACGAGTTCGAGTTTCCAAAATAGGATTTTCTCGGTCTCCACGACTGCACCCTGGTTTGGGGAACCTCCTGCGTGAGTAGTGCAACTGGTGACTGGAACTACTCCAGCCAACCTTTGAGGTTGACGCTCATCCGTGGTGTCTGTGTACAAGACTACTGGATGGCGGTTAACGAGGAAAAGATTCACGGAATGTATTCCTGACTGGGTCAAATACATAAAGCGGTGATTGCAAAGCGGACGGCAGCTGGATGCAAAGCTATTTGCCTGTACTCCGGTTTCATATCTTCTGTGGCCAGCTTAATGGATGCAGGCTGTGCCGCGAGTGCCTCAAGCATGACCCCAATGTAATCGACCATTGTCACTGGTACCTTCCGCAACTGATGTGCCATTTGGTTCACGCCAGATGCGCTACGATCATCGATTCGACGATATCTGGTACCTTGCGCTAGGTCGAAACTTGGCATGACTTGCATGGACAACCGCGCCATATCTGGCGTGAGCTTGGTTCCGGCCTGACATGGAGGGCTCGAAGGAGGGAGACGTGTGCGCTTTCTTGTTATAACGCGCATCCCTTCGAAGCACAGTGACCGGATGTCCGTATCCTCGATGCCCAAAAGGGTTTGCAACTCCTCCACGAGTCTGGGCCGTCCGTGCCGCCACTGCGCTGGCCAGCGCTTGATCGGCCACTAGCTCGGCTCCGAGCTTCTTGACCCTGGCCAGTTGCGCCAGCCTGAAGCAAATCAAGAACGCTGGATCTTTACTCAGGGCATGCAGACACTCCTGGTGATCCGCCTTGGGGTGTAGTCGTTGAAGAAGAGGGGGTTTCCAGCTCGCATGCGAACCGGCAGTGCGCCTTTTCGTCATTCGGCCCATTGGGTTGGAGCTGTGATCTCTTCCCAAAACCAGGCGGCTTGGCGGCTTCCGCTGCCTGCGCTTGAACCCACCGTAGCGCTAACCTGAAGTTTGCGCTTCGGCTCGCTAGGTGGGACAGTGACGGATATAGGTGGTGACTGCGATGTGGCCTGTTTGACTGGTAATGATGAGGAGACTTGTCTAGACTCTGCCAGTCCCGGGGGGCTTTACCGCGTCCTGAGTGACTGGGGGGGGGGAAACTCCCCCGTTCACTACCTCACCTAATTCCGCTTTGCAAAGCCCTCCGGGGTACTCCCCGTCTAGGCCGGTTGCAAAGGAAGTGACCGTTCCTTTCTCTGCCCTCGAGTGCTCAAGTGTTGGTTCCTAAGAGAGGTGCGGTCTGCCAGTATGCATGCTAACCCGGCTGTTCTTACAGGTCAAATTTAAACTTATATATATCCGAATTGAGGGTGTTGTGGATGAGGGCTTGCACTTTTCTCCTCTCACACTCCTAAACATGCATGCATGATACTCCGTGGCCCACACCCCCCCCTCCGACTCCGACTCCTGCCAGGACGCCAAATCTCTGGCGATGGAGTTTCTCGGGAGCTCCATGGGCGAAGGGCTTTCCCGATCTTTCGGCCTTCAGGCAATTCAAAGCGGCCATATCGACCATACAAATATCGAGATCGAGTTTGCGCCTTTTGGAGACAGGAAGTTTGGCCACTACTCCGGGAATACGGCCGGGGAAAACAAAATTTCTGAGAGGGACCGGGGAGACCCCTGGGGTTGGTCACTCATGAGCTTGGAAAAGGTGCAACAGTTTGGGGCGCAAAGCTGCAGACCGGAATCCTTAAGATCCGCTCCAACTGCCCAGCTTGCTGAAAAACATCCCTTCCCTTCAACAGATCCCAATCCCAGGGCTCTGCAACCGCTGGTCTTTTTCTCCTCTTTCTGAGGGTTCGCTGGCTTCAAAAATTCCATACCTCCCGGAGCACGGGCCGCGTGCGCTCCCGAGAGGAGCTATTCCTACTTCTTGGCATCCCTTCCTCCTTTTTCCTTCTTGTGCTCTTCTTCCTGCTTGCGCTTCTCACGAGCCCACTGCTTCTGCTCCTTCCGAAAGCCTGGAGGGATCTGGCAGCGCGGCTCGTGGCGCTTATGGCAGACGATGCAC